ATCTTGAAGCGGGGGGAATATCCAGGAACTGACAAAATGGGACTGGTACCACATACACTTAGAGGTGCATCTCCCACAATCTGGGCAAAGCAATGCCTTGGCCAAAACTCAGTTGCTGACTGCACAAGCAATATTATTTGCTAGCATGATCTTTTCCTGGTTCTTTCAGACATTTATCCCAGGCTTTACCTGAGATAGGCCAATGGGGTTTACCTCCGAGTAGATAAGCACTGTATTCTACTGCATGCGAAGACCTGCTTACACTGTCACTACAGACAGAAATACTACTAGCCCTTCGCTGGCGTAAGCTCCACTGAATTGGGTGGGGCTTACTTCTTAGTAGATATGCATCAATTTAAACAGCTGATATAGTTCAATTTCCGCCTCTTGAGTTTTGGCGAAAGACATCCTGAACCCTGACAGCAGGGCTTGGAGTTCCTTAAAAGGGCCCAGCTACGTTGTCTCCCGTAAAAATGCATTATTTTTCACAAACAATAACGAAAACATTTCCACGCCATTGCTTTTGGTCTTCCCAAGAGACTTCTGTCCCTGCAAACATCCGAAGAAGATACCAGGCTATTTTGTCGTCCCAACGAACACACGTTCCCAGCTGGGGGGCAAAACACTTCAAGTTCAAAACAGGTTTTTCTGGTCTCACCAGAAGTAAGTACTGTATTCGAATCCCGCTCTGGCCACCCCAGAACTGTTCCTGGCTCCAAACCTTTTGCTCCCAACTTGAGGCAGAGCTGTTTCAACCTGGCACATTTCCAGAATAATGTTGCACTTCCAATAAGCTTGGGAAAAAATCCCATTTCTAACACAAAGCCACTTTTGAAGTTTGAAACTGGGTGTTTCAAGACAAAGGATTTTAGATTTAACCAATGTGCCCAGCTGCAAAGGAGGGGTCTTTCTCAATCCCACCACCAATCAGTTGGACAATGGCATGGATAGAGATTTGGAGAAGGGGATCAGGTCTCTCTTGGCAGTGTGGAATCCACACAGTTCAGCCAGAAATTGGCACAACTGACATGGTAGAAGAATCCCTGGCATACGATAGGATCCAAGTTTCCCAAATGCACCTGAGAGGGCAAATGAAAGAAAGCAAAACAGATTAGCAGCAGGACAAGTGCAGAATGTTTGCAGGCGCCTGTATGAAAGGGGGCTAAGTTTTTCTTTCTCTCCCTCACCTCTGCTTGGTTCAGACAAAAAGTCTAGCAGCAGAGTGCCAACGTTGCAATCTCAGCGGAAGGCCATCACTTGGTTCCAGGCTAGAAACAGTTCAGCCGACTCAGTTTTGCTTTGCGCCTCTCAAACGTCTGCTTTTCATGCTAAAATTGGAGGCCGAGCGGGCAGGAAAATACCCGCGTTGCAAAGCCCAGGAACCCAGCAGGAATGGAGCAGAGAGAACCATCGGCAGATGCTCTCGTCTGGGTTCAGAAGTTAAACTGGAGTGGGCTTTGAACCAAGTGCTACGAAGCGGAAAGTCTCTTACAAAGAGCCAGATCTTTCCACTTTTTCTGGAAACCAGATCTGTGATGTGGTAGCAAAGTAGCCAAGTTACAGGGAAGGGCTTTTGTGCATCTCCATCTTTTACAAACAACTGCAACATTATCAAAGGGCTGGGCTGGTTTCCACCAGTGTCCCTTTGATAGGAAGTCAAATCTCAATTAATGTGATCCCTGATATTTTTTTTATTGCTTCCCCAAGTAGAAGGGGAATCCAAGCAAACTTGATTTTGGGGTCCTCAGCGGTTTGGAAGTTTGTTGGATTTAAAGGAACTTTTGCATTCTGATATTTTTTTTATTGCTTCCCCAAGTAGAAGGGGAATAAACAGGAATCCAAGCAAACTTGATTTTGGGGTCCCCAGACTGCCTTGGAAGTTTGTTGGATTTAAAGGAACTTTTGCATTCTGACCCCCTATCAGTTGATGAGTTACCACCATATTCTTCAGCATTCCTGTATTTGTGTATTCCAACAACGAATGGCAGTTTGGGCTAAATGATCTTTACCATCCCTTGCCAAATCAATGATCATGTAAGAATTCTTTGGCCGGCCCAATTCTGCTGCTTCTGATGAATGAAGAGATGGCTTTCCCATTTTTTAAGAAGGTCTCAGTCTGGCCATGGAACTTTGCGAGCATCCATTTAACCAGATTGCTTTGCTCGCAAAGTGTGCAGAGCAGGTTTTTTTCAAACTTGGAAACTGTAAAATGTGTGGACTTCAACTCCCAGAATTCCCCAGCCAGCAGGTCTCCATTTTTAAAAAAAGACATAAAAGAAATTACCTGGGGTTCTTGCTTTACCACTGTGAGGCAAACCCCGCAGACGTGGTTAGCCCCATCATTTGGAAGCGCCAAGCAAGGCTCGCTCACAGCCGCCGGCAGCCGAAGCTGTAAATCCCATCAGTAGGGATAGAAGAGAAAAATGAAGAGAATGTTTTTGCTTCTCTCCTTTATAGACACAGAAGTATCGTGTGGATGAAGAAAAGTCCCAAGTTTGTTCTGAAGAACAGGGAAAACCTCCAACCTCAAACTCTAGAGCAGTATTTTTCAACCTTAGCAACTTTTAAATGTGGGGAATTTAAATTCC